TTCGCTTGGCCAACAAAGATATAAAGACCTTAGCAACTTAGCAAAACAGTCATAATTTGCGTTGGATGAGCTTCCAACAGTTATCTGAAGGAGGTCAAGAACATTCTAGTGTGAAACCAAGAATACAGTTCTGGAGTGTTTTGTTGAATCAAAACGTCCCATCGCAGACGAGAGCTACAGAACATTATGAAACATAACAATCGTCTTAAAGAAACAACTAATTCAAGACTTCACTATCCATCCAATTGGTTTCGACATGCCATGGAAAGTGTGACTTCGATAAAGTAGTGTGGAACAACACACAACAGATGTGTATACCGTCGGGTCAATTGCATAATCTTGAACTCGCCAAAATGTGACTGTGGGCGAACGATCAAATTATGGAACAGTCTACAACCACAAGACCGCACTAAAAACTAAAGAATTCCATCCTTCTATCAGATATGCTTTCGTCAGTGGCCGCACAACAAACGCAAGTCGATGGCCGGCCACTCTTCTCGGCGTCGTTTTTTTTGCGTCAACTGATTTTGACCAAACAGCATCGTCACTGGTTCACCATGTTATTGGTGGACAATCGAGTAGAAGTCTATTGTCGACGGCCATTCAGCTAGTAATTTGTGAACTCTATCTGTCGTCAGCCCATCTCTACGAGTTGCAAGCGGTAGCGAATAAATCCAAAATCGGGAATGACACCGCGCGCTATCGCACTTGGAACGTGGTCTCGAAGGAAAACCTTGCATATTCTTCTTTCCCTTGTCCTCTGCGCTGCTAGTAGTTAATTTTCCTCAACCTTGGTGGCAGACCACCACTTCGCACCATAAATTACGGTAGGAAGGCGGAGTGAACAGTTCTTTCATCATGGATATGTGCAGCCATGTCTTGATATTATTGAAACTTGCCCATGAAAGCTTCTTTCTTCTCTTGATCTCGTCTATGTTGTTACTGGACGTATTAGGTGGCCGAAACATACGCAGGTAGCGTCACTGAAGATGGTACCCACGGGGCAGTGCTTGTTGCACATCCATTCGTCTCCGAGATGTTCATCTCCAGAATGATAGCGCGTGACTATTTCTGAAACTGCACAATCTTTGTCGCGAATTCCGCCGGCTCTTTTACGATGATGACGTCATCTGCAAAGAGTAGACGGGTTAGCCGTTCTCCATCGATGTTAATACCGCTGATCCAGTTTAGATGATTAAAAGGGGATTCCAGCGCCGTCTTGAAAAGCTGAGGAAAGTTAGTGTTTCTACGGAGCATTGTTACTGACGGTCTCGGTATAAATATTCAGTCCCTCGATCAGCTCGACGTAGACAGCGTTGATATGCAGTCCTACAAGGTATTCAGTACATAACTCACCTCGATGGAATCGAACATTTCTGAAAACGATGAATGCGTAGCAAATACGGAATTTGTATTTTTTGTTCTTTTATGTTAACTACTTCGCAATATGATCTATGGGGAATAACCTTGTTCAGAAACCCGTTTGTTCTCTACAGGTGATCAATTCAAAATTTTTCCGGATACGGTTGAGGAATACGTGGGAAATAACCTTACTGACACGTAACACGAAACTGATGGGCTGACAACTTTTGGAAATCTTCAGCATCACTCTTCTTGAAAAGAAGAATCATCGAAACACTCTTCCATGCTTCTGGCGACTTCTTTAGCCTAATGTGCTCCGTGAATCGTTTAGCAAG